TGTTTGATGAAGACCTGCACGGGAAGCGTGTTTCCCATATATCAACACACTAATGTTTGACGAAGACCTGCACGGGAAGCGTATTTAGCAAAAAATCTTAATCAGGACACGAAGGAGATGCCGTTACAGTAAATAATCTTGATCTGGACATGAAGGAGATGGCGCCACAGTAAAAAATATTTTTCGTATACGCTTTTACGTTTTCCTTAGTCGCCAACTTGACTAGACATAAAATATATTTCTATTCGAAGTTCAAAAGAACTCCATGCCCTCTTGTCAAGCTCTGGGTTATCTAATATAAATGAAAGTGTACTATAAACGGTGTTTATTCTCTTCTTTAATAAGATTAACAAACCGATCTTTAGACTTTTAATAATTTTCTCTACCATTTACTACTCACAAAGACATAACTGAAAAATTCGTTTATAACAAATACTTAATTAAATTTATATTTTGTTAAAGATTACACGAAGTTTAAATAGATGCAAAATATTAACTGTATTTATCTGTGTTGAAGTTAAATGGAATCCGAACTGTAGTATGTTGTTTTGGGCCTATGCAGGCAAAGTCAATACATTGCTATATTGCTTTATAACACGGATGAATTTGTTTGTTTGGAATTTCGTGCAAATTTACACGAGGGCTATCTGCTCTAGCCATCCTTAATTTCCCAGTGAAAGACAAATAAACGAACTAAAGAAATGTGGATTTACAAGTTTAGTTAATTTCGAAACGTTCCTAGACTTAAAATCTTATATTAACGCGACAAAAAGCTTCTCTAGGAAGTGAATGATGTGTAGCCATGTGAAATAAACGTATTGTTACACCTCCGTTCGATAGTTAATTTTCCGTAAATTCGTTCCGACGAAACTTTAGCGACACGAGTCCTTTCTTAAATAAAACTGGTTTATTCTTTCCGAATACAACTTTACGATACACTTAATTTCAACAGTCGCTCTATAACAAACGCTCACGTCTCACGTGGCCAACAATATCTTATCCGCATACATTCAATTACTCATTGCCTCTGTTGTCCCGTCACGTTGTGACCGTCTTATATATATATACAAGACTAACACATATCTAGTAAATGCTAGGGCATTCTTGAAGTAACAGGATATTTCTAGAAAGAAGTGGCGTGATACTAGTCACGTGACCTCGCTGACGTAACAGTATTAAAACTTTTCAGTGGATTCTGTGACCCTTTCTTGTCGCTTGACCTACTCTGTAAGATCAATGTGTTGTCATCTAGTCTGTAAATGTAATCACTTGAAGTATTTTTTATTTACTGTTTTAGTGTATCTATCTGTCATCAACTCTAGCACATTCATGTATTGACATTTATTTACTTTTTACAGTTTTCTGAAAACAATGGCAAGCAGGTCATATTGGCTCATAAACAAGGAACAAAGAATTGCATGCAAGACACTTTTACGCCAGTCACATGTCTTTATTTTAGCCTTCAATGCATTAGATTGTGTAGAGGTTATGAGTTGTTTGACCACGCTGTTCTACTTAATTTTACGCCACTTTTTTGTGAAATTCCCTTAGCGACTGCGCACACCGATCACACGTGTTGCATCAACCACATTTTATCTACTTTTTTTTCCACAGTCCTAATTATTTTGCAACAACTCACGTTGCATGCGAATTAGAACTTCTGGTATGTTATCCTACTCATTCCGAATTAAGATACATTCAAATGATTAATGTATTTAGGCAAAACACGTCCAACATATGGTAGAAAACAACAACGGACAATTAAACTTTGCAACCTTCACAGACCTTAGCTTACAATTTATCTAAAGATAGTGTGTCTTCTGTGTTGTTTTTACACAAATACAGAACCCAAAGCTATTCGACGTTTCATTTAGTTCTTATTTGCATGCATTACTATGGTTACTAGATTTCCAGTGTAAAAATCTGGAAAATTTTTTTTCCCACACGGAGTGACACTGCAACATCTCTGATACGGTTTAAATTACACTATTTATCATTTGCTAAGTAATTTGATGTTTATTGAATCATGATTTAAAGACATAAACGAACATTATTTTAAAAAGCTTATCTAGATAATTAATAATATATAGAATATAAAACACGTTTTAGTTCTCGTAAACCAACATAGAAGAAAACTGTTACTTCTTCGTTTCCTTTTTCGAGACTGAGCAGGTATTCAAATCACAATTCTTGCGGGTTGGATTAAGAAAACGTAGCAGAGAGAGGGAATTGTAACGTGTGATTTGTTGTCAGGTGGTTCTTTGGGGAAAATTTGAATGATACGGACAAAAAGTAAGGCTAAAAACTGGAACTTCTTGTAAACCTGTGTATTAATAAACATGAAACGTTTGTTAACCAGAATTTACATGGTATTGCAGATCTTCATCAAACATTAGTGTGTTGATAAATGGAAGATACGCTTCCCGTGCAGGTCTTCGTCAAACATTAGAGTGTTGATATATGGAAAATACGCTTCCCGTGCAGGTCTTCGTCAAACATTAGTGTGTTGATAAATGGTAAATACGCTTCCCGTGCCTCGTTTCACATCTCTCGTGCATCCCGTGCAATATTTCTCTTCCTAGATAAAAATATTAACAAACGTCCATTAAATAAAGCAACCAAATATTTTAACAAAAAAATACAATTTTTTTTCTAGCAATAATTAAACTATAAACATTAAGCAACAAGTGTTCATTATAACAACAGAAATAGTATATTTTAGTAATCCACTTTGAAGAAGCTATTTCGACCTCATATTACCGACTTATATTTCCACTGGTCGCCACCGGTGATGGTCACATAATGTAACATATTAGTTTTATGTTTTAGCGATTACAACACTCAGTGTAAACAGAAGACCAGAAAGAAGGTGAGATTACTAAGTTTTCTACTTAAAATATGCAAGAAACGCTAGTAGTAATCAGTGCAATATTAACCCTCTATTACACATTGTAACGTACAGGAAACAAAGCTATCTTTGTTTCTTATTACACATGTATTACTTCTGAAGTTGAACAATGCTACTACAGACCTATTTAAATATGAAATTCAAAGAAAACATGTTTTTCCATCGTATTTTCGTAATGTCGTGAAATAGAGAGTAAACAATATTTTTCTTTATATTTATATCTGTGTTACTCATATAGGTATCACACAGTAGATCAGCGGTAAATTTGAGGGCTTATAACACTAAGATTCAAGGTTCGATCTTGTGGTGAGCACAACTTAAAGAGACCACAGTACAGTTTTGCGTTAAAAGAAAACAGACATTGTCATGTATGTTTCAAGGGGAGTTGTAATCCAAAAGGTCTTACACACAAGTAGAAAAAAATGTGTTTAAGAAGCTGATTTCTATATGGATCTCAACGGTAATTCTTAGGTCAAAAGATTGAGAGATAACTCAGTAAAGTAACAGACAAAATTTCACAAGAAAATGCGAATAAATATCCTTAGAAATACGAAAAATTATCACCGAGTGAAATAAGCCGTCCTAAGGTATAGAGGTTTTGTTTGTTTTTTGGAAATTAAGCACAAAGATACACAATGGGCTATCTGTGCTTTGC